ACAGAATTCCCCAAAGTTAGGGACACGGCGACAAGTGTGACTTCTCACCCAATCTGGTCCATAACAACAGAATCTAGGCTTTTCCCCCACCCAACTCCACCTTGTCTCACTAGAACCCTTTCATCTCTTCAGGCTGGCAGTGCTCTTAGAGACGGGCGTGAGCAGTGCTAAGACCCGGAAATACACACTGGCTTCCCAGCATCCTATGCCTTTTGAATTGCACACGCGCTCACACACACACACACACACGAGTGCACACATGCACGCTTGCATTCATGCACTCACACACACGTGCACGCATGTGCACACACACACATCACCTCTTTGTCAGCCAAGAACAGCCCTTGGATACGGAGGAACGTGAGATTACTGCCACACAAACAACAAAGAAGGAAGTTCTGTGCTCGGTGAGGTTGTCCTTAAATGGCCAGCCTTTCCTCACGAGTCTCAGCATCGACAAAAACAACAAAGAAGAGCTGTGGAGGCTGGTGTCAGTAGCTATGGCAGCAGTGGCACTGGTGGCCGTCTTTAGAAGTGGCAACAGATACAATTGGCTGAAAATGACAGAGATGAATCGTAGAGACAGCAGACAGAACAGCTTTGCCGCCGAGGGCAACAATCGGCCACCTGTCCCTTTTCATCATCCTCCAAAGACTGAGCAGGGTGAAATGAGGGCATCGGTGTCCTCTGCCCAGTAGCCCCGTGGCATCTGTGTGGCCTGCAGCACAGCCCTCATTGACAAGTGCTGTCATGGGGAAGATGAGGACAGCAGGCAGCAGGAGGGCATGGAGGCCCCAGGGTGTGGTAGACACCATTCCTGGGCATCTACGCAACCTAAGCATCAACTCGATGCACAGGCCATGAGTGATATTCTCATCCCATCCTGCAGAGACGGCACCAGGTAAGGGGCATGGGGGCCTGCGATGTCCTCTGCTATTTGCCCTAGTGACGTGGATCAATGACACTGTCCCAATCCTTGACTCCCTGTTCCGTAGAGGTTGCTGGCCTCTGTTCCTCCCACACAGCATGGCTATTGTCACCTCTGTAGTGACTACACAGCATCACACACCACTCACTGTGCTTGCTGCTGTGGTGCCAGTGTTTTCGATGTTTGATAAAAAGAGACTCCATTGAGGAAAAGTTGAACTTTTACAGCGAGGTACTGGTTCTCAGCAGGGCAACTCAGCTGTCCAGCCCATACTCCAAAGGCAGCCATGCCTCTGGTCTACTCATCTCTATGTGGGTTGGATGGCATTTTGAAGCAAGGTCTAGAGATGCAGGCTGTGGGCACAGCTATTGTAACAGGAAGGCCACTTGTTTGTCCCGGCTGCCCAGAACCGAAATAATCACATAGAAACTGTATTAATTAAATCACTGCTTGGCCCATTAGCTCTAGCTTCTTATTGGCTAATTTTTACATCTTAATTTAACCCATTTCTATTAATCTGCACATCACCACGAGTTCATGGCTTACCAACTAAAGTTCCAGCACGTCTGACTCTGGCGGCTCCATGGTGTCTCGCTCTCTGACTCGGTCCTTCTTCCTCCCAGCATTTAGTTCTGTCTTCCCTGCCTACCTAAGCTCTGCCCTATCAACAGGCCAAGGCAGTTCCTTTATTAGCCAATGAAAACAACACATAGACAGAAGTACCTTCTACACCAAGCTATTCTACAAGCTGAGGCAGAAGGGTCACAGGTTCAAAGCCTGTTTATGCTAGAGTGTGTTCAAAGCCAGCCCAGGCAATTCAACAAGACTGTATCTCAAAATTTTAAAAGGAGGGAGTGTGGGCAGTGTAGATCAGTGGTAGAGTGCTTGCTTAGTGTATGAGGGCTTAAATTCAGTCCTTAATAACACACACACACACACACACACACACACACACACAAAATCCCCCAAAATGCGCAGGATATTCTGAGGATTGCTATAAAAGTAGATTTCTGCATTCTATAGGAAGGCTATGGTGACAGTAATTTAGTGATAGCAGAGCGGGAATGGCAACAGAAATTCTCCATCAGTCTCGAGGACTGGCAAGATCACCATCATCTTTCCCTGGCAACTTTCCTCCTACAGGCAGGAATGCAGTGGAGTAGGCAGCTAAGATGCCAGCTCTCCCACAAGGTGCTCTGTGACTGTTAGAGTTGTCAGTGGCCTTGTCCTTACAGTGTCTATGGTACTGACCAGTTCTTTTCCAGAAGCCTGTTGTTCTGATGATGGAAGTTTCTTTCCTACTCAGTCCCACAGCTATTCAGAACCAAATAAACACACAGAGGCTTACATTGATTTTAAACTGCTTGGCCTATTGTTCAGGCTTATTACTAACTCTCTCTTACAACTTAAATTAACCCATAATTCTTATCTATGTTTAGCCATGTGGCTTGGTACTCAAGAAGGCATTCTCATCTTGCTTCCTCTGCATCTGGATGATGATTGCGTCTCTGCCTATCCTCTTCTCAGAATTCTCCTGGTCTGGTCACCCCACCTATACTTCCTGCCTGGCTACTGGTCAATCAGCATTTTATTAGACTAATACGAGTGACAAATCTTTACAGTATACAAGAGCATTCTCCCACAGCACTGTTTACTTCCATGATTAACGCTCACTGCATCCATAGGGTCAAGGCTCATCCTGAGTCACTACTGTGTCCCTCCCTCCTGTGTACTCCTGTTCAGCAATCTTACCCTCACAGATACACATTAGCTACTGACTGGCTGAGGAGAAATGCCTGGTCTCTGGATAGAACGTCTACCAGGAGCAGTGGGGAGTGTTTGTTCAGATTCTGGGCTCTGTGGTTCCTTGGCTTCTTGGGGCCAGTTCTTAATTCATGTTGTTATCATTCCTTCCTTTCTAGAGTATGAATAGCCGTGATAGTGACCTCAAAGAGCTGCTGTGGAAATTACCAAGGTGATGCCTATCATATAGCTTCTATACTGTCACTATAAAGAATGCTTCTCCAGACTTTCATTATCGCTAGGCTCAAAGGCAGGGTCTGCTCACCAAAGATGCTCATCTATGTTGCTGTGGAGTAGTTGTAGAATCATATTCCACAGCAGGCTGAGATTTTTACTTCAGATAAAAGTGATTCTTTAAAAAAAATCATTCAGATCTAACCTGATTCTGAGAGAAATGTTTATCAAGTCAAGCCGTTTTCCAACTGTTAGGTGAGCCTGTGAGACACATGCTCACACAATGACACTTGCAGGACAGCTGGGAGAAAGCACAGCGTGTCTATGACTCCCTCAGGTTCTCATCACATTTAAGGAGTTGGTACACATGCTGCCATGAGTCACAGCTCAGTGTCCCTTTAAGGAATTCACAGGCTAATAACTAGACACCGGAAGAGTAGACGATGCTCAGCACACAGGCATTGACCTGGAGAGGGCCATGCAGGAGGTTCTCCATCATCCAGGACTCGGTAGACTGCCATGCACGGGCCACAGAAGGTGCACCCCAGGGCAAACCAAGCCTTGTTCCCTTCAGTGTCTGTTTGAAGGTTCCTTGTGGAAGGGGTTTTCTCTGGCATCCCTTAGGAGTTTGAGCCCATCCTGAGATGAACATGGGGGAGGCTTCTCACTTGACTGACCATCAGGGGTGTGTATGGCGGCTCTCAAATGAGCATCAAGATTGCCAGACTTGGTTTGCTACCCAAACCCACAGGCTCCTTAACACCAGCACCCTGGGGGCTCCTCCCATTCCTCATCCCAAACCTGGGTTTTATATGCTGATTTCAAGACCTGCAACTCTCTTTACCTAGGAATCTGGATCCTTGATTACACGGTGATGTCGCTACCTGCAAAAGTATGGCATCGGCAAGCACAAACTGGAGGTCAGGGGCTCATGATCCCTTCCTGTTTGGATGGACCTTGGCACAGCACAGCCTGCTGCTTGCCCCAGGATTCTCTCCAGTGTCCCCTGAGTGACGAGCCAAGTCAGAAGGCAGGGGAGAAAGGTTCTCATTCCCACCACACTGCTGCTGACTTTAGTTAGGGAAGAAGCATCTATGGGTCTCTGAATGCACTTTAAGGATTTGCAGATGGCAAGAGGGGGAGGGGGCCTTGGAGAAGCAGGCTACGGTTGGGGGTCTTGACACTGTGTTCATCGCTTCTTCACTGCTGAAACTTCCGTGGCTCACTTTCTGGAATCTGATTTTACAAATGCAATTTCCCTTGTTCTTAAAGGTCTGGTTAGGTAACTGACCTACTGGGTGATATCTGTCACTGAGCCATTGACCCACCACTAGATCCCCTAAAATGGTCCATGTTTCTCCTGACACCAACCATAACAGACAGCCTTGATTGGAGCCTGTTTCTCTTACTTTAACCCCAGACTGTCGCTGTACACGCTTCCCCTCATCACCAGGCCTGAGGTGTGTTGGCCATGTGTGTGGTCCTCACTGACTGCTCAACACTAGACTTCCTTCTGCTCCCTCTCCCCATCTTGTTACCAATGGATGACAGGCAGGTTATCACATGTCTCTAAGATCAGAACTGCCAATGGGACCCCAGGCTCACAATGCACTGATTTTACCATGCAGTGGCAAAAGTCTATACTGAAAGTTTATAAACAAACTTTATTTTATAAATTATACATATTCTGTTTACCTACTCAAGAACATATTTTTGCCTATGTGTGGCCACTCTTATCTAAGCTTTCAATCCTGTTCCTAGGATTCACCATCCCCTCCTCTGCCTTCAGAAGAACTAGCCTATGGTATATTTTCCTTGGATGCCCTGCTTAGTATTCTCCCCTCCTAGGAAAGTAGAATGAATTCAGAGATTTTTATTTATCTTGTTATTTCCATGCCCAGAGCAGTTCCTGGCCCAGAGAAGTAACCCATTGAATTTTAGTTAAGAAACAGGAAGAATGAACGGATACCGAAGGGACATGCCTGCTTCTGTCTGTCCAGACCACACAGGTGAGGCATGGCATCCTCCTGTGCCCGCCCACCCTTGCCCTGGGAGGTTGGACTGCTGCTTCCCACTGCCCCAAGGTGCCACTCACCTTCAGCTTATGCTCATGCTCCTTGTTGACCCGGGCCAACAGCTGAGCCTTCCTTCGGTTTAGGGCATCAATGAGAGCATCGCACTGGGCCACCAGGCAGGCCTCAAACTCCACACTGTTTTCCTGAACAAGAAAACACCATTCTCAAGCACATGTATGGGGAGCTTGGGTAGTCATAGAAACCAGAGCATCCCAGTCCTTCCTCCTGAAGAGATGGGAAGGAACTTTGTCCATAGAGCACACTGAGTATTTCCAAAGTACTGGTAAACTCTTCTGTAGTGTGAGTGTTTTGCTTTAAGTTTGCGTGGAAAGGGGTAGGTATTTATTACTTTCATTCTTAGAAGAAGAAATCATCTCTCCAGCTTGAACTATAGTAAGTACAGGAAAGCATTGGCTGAAGGGTGGTGCACAAGACCTTTGACGGGTGCATGTGCTCGGCTTTGCAGGCAGAAAAGTGGTTTCTCAGAGGAAGAGGGTAGAGTCAGGGCAGGAGAGAAAGGGTTACTAAATCTCACAGAAGAAGGAAGGATGACAAAGGTCCCCCACATTAAACAGTGATCCAATGTTGTCATCAATGGCAGCATAAGCTATAATGACAACGGGCATGAAGAAGGTTGTCCCTGCATGAAGAAAGGCAACAGCGGAGAACATGTCATATTGGTAACAGCATTTTCTTGTTCCAGACTCAGACAGGACACAGTAACTTGCTGAGGACAGGGACTACATAGAAAATGAAGGAAGTGTGGGCCCATGGTATTCAAGTTGAAGCTGGCTATAACTTTTCCCCCCTTTACTTTAACCATGTAGTTCTTTCATTAGCAATTCTGGATTACGGGCATATATTAAAGGCCTCAGATATTTAATTCAGGAACTTTCTTCAAAGACGGTCTTTGTCTGAGGCCGCATTAGGAGCAGCAGTTCCTATGGACACAGTTTCGGCTCTGCTCGCAATGGTCTTTGAATTCTCAGAGAAAGTCCTTGAAGACTCACTTAAGGACTTGCTGTGCCCTGTGTAGAGTGATGGTGGGGTGGGGTGGGAGGGAGCCTTCCCTTGGAGACTGCTGTTTTCTTACAGAAAGAACACTCTGCTCTGACAGAAAGGCAAGGCGGGGGCAAGCCTGGGGCTGCACCATTTGTGCCAACGACGGCAAAGAAAGGGCTGATTGATAAACACTGCCGCTTTGGAAAACAGAAGGAAGTGTACAAAACTGCTAGGGAACCAACAGTTTTAACACTGGCACTCATACAAAAAAAAAAAAAAAGGCGGCGAAACCAGTGTGCGGTGCTTTGAGAGCTGGCTTACATTAAGAATCCATTTCTGCTCTGACACAGGTTAAGGAGCCAATTTACCGGAGGGCGGAATAAAGGTTATTTCCAGGAGGGAAACCTCAAAACATGTAAGAATGGTAAACAGTGCACAAGGTCATTGTTTTGGCATCTCATATGTTCTATGGTTTCTCCCTTTCGGCTCCAGCGAAAAACGTATGCATTCTCAAGTGCTGGCTGCCTGCTGGTGACCACGGCCTGATAAGGCAATCTGAACCTGTAGTCGCCAGGGAACTAAGGCTAGAAAATGTCCAAGTGTCTGAAACGAAAGAAACATTAAGATGGAACAGGGAGAAAGGAAAGAAGAGAGAGGGAGAAGGGAGGAAGAGAGAAGAAAGAAGATGAGAACCCACTAGTTAATGCTAAGTAAAATGGGCCTTGGGCACCTATAGGATTTTAGGAACTCGGGAATAATGGGGTTCATAAAGAAATGGGCCGCCGTCTACACGCAATATAGTAGCGGACTGAAGGCATCAGAGTGGAAGGCAGGAAATGCCTGGGACAGACAATCCTGGCTTGTGGACAAAAGAGCTGCTGCCTCAAGAAGGCGCACGTGTGGGTGGCCTCTCTGTGTGTCTGCCTGTGTGGAGGAGACAGGGCCGAAAGAAAAAGAGAGATTTCCGTGGAACACATCAAGTCAGAGGGTCTCAACCCGCTTTGGCTGTTGTCAGCCCGCGTTGCACCTCTTCCCCTCCGCCGCACCCCCAGACCCCACTCTTCACCCCTGTACCCCCCCCCACTTGGTACCTGGATCTGTTGCACCATGGTGCGGAGTTGCACCAGGAACTCCTTGGCTTCTTTGGCCCTGTCTGACAATCCGTTCAGCGCCTGGGAGAGCTGGCTCTGTGGAGAGAAGGAAGGAAGGAAGGCCTGAGATGCCGTCACACAGGGCCACATGGAGTTACTTCAAAACCATGGGGCCCCAAACCCAGGAGCCCTTGAGGCTGCCCTGAGTCCTCTTGTTTGGGCCTTTGAGGTAACGTGGATGGGTGGGTTCTGGTACCCAGGCAGGCAGCCCTTTCCTGGGCTCCTGAGCACGTTATTCTCTGAAGCAGCAAATGTTTCTGGCCACAGAAGTCAAAGGCCTCGCTCGTTGACACTCACCTCGCGCGCCCTCATCTTGTTAGTTAATTAATCTTTTATATCATTTGTGAGGGATTAAAAAAACAAACAAACGAGCCAGTCAATTGAGCTGATTCCTTCTGACGATACTTAGCCTAAAGGTTCATTGGTCTGGGGTGGGGGATTGGGGTCAGAAATAATGAAGATAATCAAGTGAGGGATGAAGAAGAAAGGGTTGAGCACTGGTGTGACGCCCTGGGGTGGCAAAACCGCTAACGACGAATGTAAATGCCAGAAGAGAATGCCACCCCATCAAGTCCTCCTCCTTCTCCCAGGTGCATGGACTCTAGCTTCCCGGTCCCGACCAAGGTCAAAGCCTACTTTCTTCCTAACCTCCCACTCTGCCAAACCTCCTGCAGTTCTGCAGGGGCAAAGTTGAGTCCAGGCAAGCACAGTTTTTGAGTCTTGGTGACTGCTGAGGCGGCCACTGCCCAAACTGCTCATCAGTGGGACCTAGGTGAGGGTCTACCAGCGAAGGAAATGTCTAAGAAAGCTGATGCGGGGCCAGTGTGGCCTGGGTAGTTTCTCCTCTTTGGTTTCTGCCTTTGAAGCAGATCAGTATCTTCTAGAGAGGAGGTCACTACAGTCAGGATGGAGGGGAAAGGACACCAGGCTCAGAGTCGGTCTTCCTGATGGGAAGGACGAACTGCTATGTAAGCCCTCTGCTAGGTTTTCCATCCCTTGAAGCCCTTAGCAATATATGGGATACAAGATTCCTTGTCCTAGCAGACTGAGCAAACCCACTGTTCCTCAGGCAATGGCAGACCATTCTCATTGCTCCTCTTTCCTGTGCTTTCTTGAGAGTCCAAAATCCATTCATCTCTTCAACCAGCACAATATCTTTCTTATCCTTTCAATCAAAAGGCAAAAACCTCAAAATTTTCCCCGTCCTGTGATTTTTTTTCTCTTATATTTGTCTTAATAAATATGCGGGGGGAACTGTATTCCTTTTTAAAATATGCAGGCCAAATGCCGGGTGGGAACAACATAGGGGGTAGAAAGAAAGAGAGCAGAATTTGAGGGGTTAAACTCTGGCCCTGCTCTTTACTCTGTGACCCTGAGAAAGTTACCTGTGTTTGAATTACGCCAACAGGAAAAACAAGCATTGGAATAATATTTTGTCACTGGGCTCTGAACGAATGCAGGGCAGTGCTTAAGGGAGCTATCCCATCTCGTCCATGCTGCCAACTACCGACTGTTTACACATTTATACATAGTTTGGCCTCTTGCATAAAATGAGAATTTTACTTACTCTTGGATAGTGTGGACATTGCATGAGATACTGTATTCAAAGGCCAGGGCCCTTTAATTTGGTGTTTCCTTAATAAATGTTGGATGGTTTTAACTCATGCTTGCTTTCTTCATTTCTAGGCACCTAAACACCCAATGATGAGGGATTTAATGGGTGGATTCCGCAATAATATCTGCTGGAAAACACCTTTGTTAACTTGTAGTTTGCTGTGTATTTTAGCCCCAGAAACGACCGAGAGAAGGTGCATAGTGACCCTATGTTGCAAAGGGACCATTCATCTCTTTATTACTGTGTTTTAGTGATGCCATCATTTGGGGGTAAATTTTATCCTTAAGAACTGTTTTCAGGGGCTAGAGAGATGGCCCAACCATTAAAGACTAGGCTCACAAACAAAAATGTAAGAACTGTTTCCAGGATCTCAGGAAATGAAAGGAGAAAGGGCTTTCACTGGAGACCACAGCAGTAAAATGAGAGACAGTTCTAAAGGGGGAGTCCGGTTTTCACAGTTATCCTTACAACTCCTGCTTCTCCATTTTCCCCAAATGAATGAAAGTCTACTGGGCTACAAAGATTTCCCTCTCTGTAGTAAACGTTCTTAGAGATTTGGGAGCAGGAGTCAAATTCACCTGGCCACACGCACATGAAACTACCTGATTTCTCACATTTCACCCTCCAAATTGATCATGTCTGTGCAATGTATTCTTAGAAAAAACTTTGGTGAATTCTGGCAACAACTCCGTGGGCAAAGGTCCTTGCTGCCCAAGCACACGCTCAACACCTACAGAAAAAGTCAGAATCAGTGGCACGTGCCTGTAATCCCAGTACAAGGAGCCAGAGATAAGTGGATTCCTGGGGCTTGCTGGAACTGATGAGCTCTAGGTTCAGTAAGAGACTGGGAAGCGATTGAGGAAGTCAGTCAGCACCAGTGTCTGGCCTCTGTATGCTTTTATATGTGCACACCCACCTGTACAATGCACCCACACAGCACACACATGCACAAAATACCTCTACACACACACACACACACACACACACACACACACACTTTTAAAATGTTATTTGGTCGTAGACAAAGAGTTCTGTCTTCATTCAGGATTTTTTTTTTTTTTTTTTTTTTTGCTTTTTCGAGACAGGGTTTCTCTGTGGTTTTGGAGCCTGTCCTGGAACTAGCTCTTGTAGACCAGGCTGGTCTCGAACTCACAGAAATCCGCCTGCCTCTGCCTCCCGAGTGCTGGGATTAAAGGCGTGCGCCACCACCACCCGGCTTCATTCAGGATTTTATACGTCAGAGCAAGAAGTGAGCAGCAAAAATCAATTCTCCTCCAGACTCAGTCTCTTTGTGTCTGTGTTGGAGGCTGGTGCCCGCCAACTGGCTGACAATTGTTTGGTATTTGATAAACAGCTATTTTGTAGGATAGAGATCTGTAAGCCTTTCCCCTAAGCTTTGTCCAGTTGCAGAATTCGGCCGCAGACAGAGAAAACCATTAGGTTTTATCAGCAGCAAGTGCTGTATTGTAAGGATTTATATTTGTTGCTTTTTGTAGAATTACCTCCTGAGCACGTTTATAAGCCATGCTTGATTAAACATTATTACTTATTGATCTGGTTTGCTTAAAACATTTGAATTCAAGCCTCTGCTGGCAGAGGTGCTCTGTATTCAGGACCACAGAGCAGGGCTGGGAATTTTCTGCTTGTGCATTGAGGGTGTAAATCCACGGTTTGCATTCTCCTCTGGGCATCCTTGGAGGGAGAAAGGTACAGTTTCTAAGGGCTGTTTATGATGTCTAAATCGAGGCGCTTGGGTTTCCTGGATATTTGTTTTCTAATTCGAGACAGTTTCTGAAAGAGGAGGGGAGTGTTACAAAGAGGCAGCTACAGGCATCTGATGGATTTCTTGGCTCAGGGCATGCTAGGAATAAACAAGCTCTCCCTGGAAGAAGACACATTGTTTAAGTCTGAAGTAGAGAAAAAGAAAGAGCCCTTCCTCCTCCTTCCTTCGTTGCTTGCCTATATGGGATGTTCGTGTGTGAGTGTTTAATGTGTGCATAAGTGTGATAGCCCATCAGAGAGGTTGGGAGGCTCCAGGCTTTGGGTGAAGCTGCTGTCATGGAGGTCATGGGGCTGGGACACGAAGCCAACAAATCTTACCATGTTTATTGTGAATCTGATTCTGAGCTGTGTGCACATCCAGGGAGGACACAGTCATATACAAACTTCTCCCATTGTCTTAGCTACTTATCTGGCTTTGTTTATTGGTGGCAGTTGCTAACCCTGGCTGTGACTCAGGAAGATCCTGCATCCTTGGGTGTTGAGCTTCCCTTCTGAAAAAAATATGAGAGACCCCTACAAAGGGAAACTAGTTTCCCAAGCCCGCACATTTCTCATACATTACAAAAGCTCACCATGTTTAATCTGACTCTGACTTGTGTATAGCGTAGATAGAGGGAAGGCTTTCAACCTGGTATACGCTGAGACAGAATCTCCTATCTTTATCACCCAGTCTGCGCACATAAACACACAGCAATAGCTAGTGAACGCATAATCCTACTTTCTTCCCTTTCTATCACAATTCAAATCTGTGCCAACTTTTACTCATTTTTAAACCATAAAAATATATCAGAAAGTTATTATTCTATCGGATAGCAGCAACCGAATCAGATAGATAGGGCACCAGAGACCATCATAACACCAGAGTTAAAAAGACAGACTTTAAAGTCGGATGGACCAGAGTTTGAACTCTAGCCTTTTGCTAGTTGTGTGATCGTGGGTACATTTCTAACAGTAGCAGACACTGAGATGCTCTATGCATCCTCGGAGCTGCTGGAAGAGGGAACTGGGATTGGTATGTAAAATAAAAAAGAGGTTGTTTAACTTAAAAAAAAAAAGAAAAGAAAATGGAATCTCAGTTCTCAAATTTACACATAGATATTGCCAGTGTGATATTTAATATTTATTTGGTCAAGAAACACACTTCGCTCCAGGCTTCCTTAATGAGATTTTCCTGGCTAAGGGGAAAATTCTCATCCACGGTATTTGCAGAGCATTTGGAAGAAGTCCTGGCATTCAGAGAACTGCCTAAGCACTTGTTAAACAAGCTCTTTCCTCCACTGCCACTGCTACTGAGAGGACTTTGTGGCCCAGAAGGCCGGAGCCTTCTGGAGAGGAACTGCTGGAGAGGAACTGACGTCAAGGCCTACTTGTTTCAGTAGGTCGTATTCTAAGTCTCTGGTCCACAGAATCCCATCATGTTGTGGATGGATTCATGCTTGTGAACACTTCCAGTAGACAGTCAATGGACACCTAAGAAAATGTTCTCCTCTTACAGACGAACATACACAGGATAAAAACACATGACACATGCTTCAGAAATGTCATTGAACTGAGTAGTTGGGTTATTTGGGTAACTTAGGTTTTCCGGTTTGATCTCTGAATTTTAATAGATATCCACAAAACCCTCAAGTCACTAATA